CATATATATATTATCAAAATATTTATAGTTACTCAATATGTAAACATACGATTACACAATACGACATTAAATTAATAAGTAAAGTATTGAAATCACAATTTCAATAGAAAATACTCTCTGATATAAAGGAGAGAGCCAAAAACAGTAAGTAATCTAGTCGTTACCTATAGGCAGCAAGTCTAATGTGACACGTCCATATACTCTGTTTATATTATTCCAGTCCAGTGATCGAAATCAGCGCTGGATTACAACTGCAAATATGTTAATCCACACTAGAACCTACCGAATGTCTTAGTAGAAAACGTATCTGTCTATTTAATTTTATCCTTAACTAATCTGATTCATTAAGAAATCTTTGTCTAGAAATACTTTGAAAGACTGAAAGTAAGATATTGTGAATCTGGGTCTTGTTTGATAGTGCTATAGTGAATTGATAGGTAGCTACGAGGGTCTGCGGTCGATCAGATTACAGCTTAATTAAGAACCTAATACGCTCGATGAAAAGCTTTTGCTAAATCTATTAAGTTGACCTTGACCTCTGTCGAAAATCAGTTTCATACTTAACTTTTTAACAAATAATTTTCTACATTTATCGATAGATAAATACTGAATAATGTTTGGAACTCCTACTGCCATAATCATAGGTTTTTATAATTAAAAAAAATGAAATAAGGATTACAATGTAAAAATCACTACTGTCATTTAAAATAATAAAAAAGTATACGGACCAAGAGTCTGTAGATGACATTTCTTGTAATTTAAAAAAAAGAATAGATCTGTGGCAATAAGAACACCACGGTTCCACGGCAAAATATCTATATAAGATGTCATCTCTGTCTTTTTTTACCAGAATGAGAGGGATGGCAATGTTATTCTTTTTATTGAAAAACACATGGCCAGTTCGATTATTTCTTTATAGTGAAGTTATTTTAAATACTGTTACTCGTATAACTGAACTAATCAGCCGCAATAAAGTAACCGAGGACAGAAGCTCGCGGCTGTCATTGGGCACTAGGCCAAGTATTTCACGCTTGAACCGCGTTTATTTGAGTAAACGGGATTTCTACGTACCAATTAAATTGTTAAAACAGTATATTTGACTAGCTGTTGCATGCGACTTCGTCCACATAAAGATGAGAACGAAAATATTTTTGCAAAATAATTATTTGAAACTTTGATATACAGTTTCGATTTTATTAATTCACCTTTCTTACTATATTGTTATCTCTGTTTTGTCAAAGATAATGAAAGGGATGATGATATGTTAATACAGTTTGGTCTCAAAAACTCCTAAAGTAATGTTTGGGTACATTATGTTAATAATATTACTACTTCTTACTTTTACTTTTCTAGAACTGGGCGTTGACATTTAGTTTAGATTTCTTTTACTATCGAGCGTGCTTCTTTATCCTTGACATCTCATCCAAATTTAACTCTGATCTTATGCAATATTTACATTGAAGCGAGAAACATTGTATGTATGTTTGTAATAAATACAATGTTCTATAATTACATTTCACTATTTATACGTGTACACAGTCTGGGACATTAATTTCCTAACCACAGAAATATTTGACTCTAACAATGTAAACAGAAAACGTATAACAGCAATATAACTCTGGTGGGGATAGATTTTAGTACGACATTTGATCCTAAGGAAGTGAATCCAATTGTCTGAATCTTTTTAAATCAGTCGGGTAATAATTGTTCCTTTTTTAAATTTTAATTAAATAAAAAATATGTGAAACAGGTGCGTTAAGATAAGAGAAAGGGAGCGTGAAATTAATGTAAAACGACTCGCCCTCAAAATGATTTATTATTTATCGTTTAAAAGTTTTAATTATTCCAACTTCTAAGCCATTGTGTTATGGTCGTGTTCAGAAAATTCAAAGCGTAATTTCAATTCAAAACAAGACTTCTCTTTCAACAATAAACTTGTGAGGGAAATTATTCTTGTCGATGTAATGCTATGAAAATTAATGAAAATATAAATTACCTATTGATAACGAGCGACGCCTTTTGTTTATGAACTAAGAAAATATAAAAATAATACATATAAACATTTTCTAAATCTTTCTGTATTTTTGTAAAAAAATCTTAGTATTATCAAATATTAAATTATATTAAGAGGTAACTTTAAGTCTTTAGTGAGTAAAATAATTTGACAAAACATTAGTCTGAAAAAAAAAGCGACTCAAAGCGATTGACTTATAAGAATTTGAATGTTTTGATAGATGGATGGATGTTTATTAGAAGGCATCTTCAAAATGGCTGCATAAAATTTGTCATAAATGTAGAACATAGTCTGGTAAGAACAAGATGACTAATTATTTTATAATCCGTACAGATAGAAATGCAGGCGACAGCTAGTTAATAAATAATTGAAAAACGCTTCATTATACTATCGTACAAAAACCGAAACAAATTTATAAGTATTGGATTTCAACAAACACAATAGTTTATATCAAGTATCAAGACTGTCCGCGTAAACACGACCTCAGTGCTGTAGAGTCTCAAAACGTATTACAGTAGAGTGCGCTACGATCGCAGCCAGTGTTATTGCCTTTTGTATGGATGTTTGTAGACTCTACGATATTGACTGTGTCAATCACACTACTGCTCTATATTTGATCTCTTATTACAAAGGAAATTGAAAAATCTAGATATAGGAAGACTATTTTTTTTACATTAATAAAATAGGACTATATTTTGCTGTTTGTTACTACTAGCTGTCGCCCGCGGCACCGTCCGCGTGGAATTAAAAAAAAACTTAATAAGTAGCCTATGTGTTCTTCCAGACTATGTTATATATCTGTGCCGTTCCATAAAGATCCGTTTCGCCATTCTGGAGGTACATTCAAACAAACATCCATCCATTGAAACTTTCGCATATATAACATTAGTAAGATATATTTTCACTGTCAAAACACACATAAAAATTTATTATCCTATTTTTAAAGAGATTACGCTGAATAACAATACGACTTTATAGGATAGGTTACAATTTAAATAATAAAATCAATAAAAAAAAATTACGTAACGCTTTGAAAAGAAACTTAATAAAACACAAGGAACACATTACAAGTTTCCTTATCTAAAACGCTTTCGTTTATTAACTATTTAAACTAATGAGCGATTCGAATCTGAACTGAGCATTGAGCTATCACCACCAAAGCGCTGAGTTAATCAATCATTCAGGAACTGCGTAATGACGTCACGCGACAAAAACATTAGCGGACCATTAGTTAGGCTGTCCTCACGTAACTCCGGCGATCGCACTTCATTTAATTAGACAAACAGTGACCAAGCCTACACGAAAACCTGACCAAACAAATTGTGTTAAATACACAAATAAAATGCGTTAAATTTAAGAACAAGTAATCTGTATTAAAGTTATGGAAGCTTAGAAGTTGTGCGATTGTAAAATTGAGAAACAGATGGTTAGGTGTAGACATTGTGCGGAGATAGCCATATAAACAAGAAAGCAATGAGATTCATATTGAATGGCTACAAACGTAAAAGACGACAGAAAGTGCGCGTACCGGAGGCCTTATTTTAATCATTTTTACCTTTCCTTCTTACTAATATTATAAATGCGAATGTTTAGATGGATGGATGTTTTTTGGAAGGTATCTCCAGAACGGCTGTACGGATCTCGCTGTAATTAGGCAAACTTTTAGAAAACAGTCTGGAAGAACACATAGGCTACTAATAAGACGTAGTCGCGGGCGACAGCTTATTATATTATAAGCATAGAATGGGAAAATATTTTCTTTTTGTGCGCCCTTTAAACGTCGATTAAAGTAAGGCAACTCTTCTGCAATTGCAAATGTCTATCTACATGCGGATGTCGGATCGCTAATTCGGTGAATTTAGGTAGCCGCTTGATCATTTGTCAACACGTAACCGCATATTAAAAATGTATTGAAAAATGAAATATCCTTCTTAAAATCTTCTATATCAAAATATCTGCAATCAATCTACATTGACTTATAGACTTATAGGTAGTTGCTTAGTTATTGATAGAAGAGAAGACTTATAGATACCGTTTTCCTTGTTGCAACAGAGATGGAAAGTAGAGTAAAAGACTATAATTGGATGTCCGACTCCATCATCAAATGCACTTCCTCTATGAGGTAGTGCAATTGCACCGATCATGTCGTCTCATTTACTAATATATGTTGGTTTGCAGGTTCTACCACTGTAATAATTAATGCGCTTTCTAAGTAACAAAATAGATCTAAAACACCACATAAATATATTGTTCAAGTTGTATATTTTTTTCCAATAAAATGTCACACTAAAATTCAAATATTATCAAGCACTTTTGGACACGATGACTTCGTTATAAATCAGCGCGAGCAATCGATACATTGTCAATGTTGTCAGAGATATAAAATTGTCGTCAGAGACTATAAAAAATTTTGCAATAATTAAAAACAAATGACATTAAGTATTTAACTTGACTGCAAGAAATGAGTACGTAAAATAAACTTTTTTCTAATTGTGTCAAGGTTAGAAAATGCACGCGATTTAATCTTAGTTTAATTTTTTGCGGGAATCAATACTTATTATGTAAGATAAAGCACTAAAATTAATACCAGACTTTTTTAATAAAATTATATATTATTTGCATATTAAATATATAAGTTGTCGTTTTAACTTCCTAAAAAGCTCAATAAGAAGCTTTCGAACTTTTTAGTGAATTTATACACAAAATAAAAATATAAATATTACTCATATCATAGTCGCCACATTTAACCTTATCCAATTAGAACTTTAGCAATTAACACGTTGAAATGTCAATTATCCGAAACGCCCTTAAAAAGTACTTTACTGGCGCACTAAAATGCGAGTCGAGTTATTAAAAGTTTTGACAACCGTTGATTAAGCGACACGGGCCCGGAAAATGATCTAATAAAAACAACCGTATTATACGGCCTTCGATGTTCTTGAAAAAATATAAAAAACAAATTAGACACTTAAGAAATATTACTTACAACAGATTTTTATTTCAACACTATCACTACACTCACACAAGTAACACGCACACACACTGACGCGACTAAAAATCGATGTATTAGTACAGCGCGCCGCTTACCACAAAAACGTCCGCTCAGTACGAGCGCGAAGTGGGACTGCGGACGAAGTGTGCATGGCGGCGCTAGCGTCGCGTAATTCCGCCGGATACGCCCGGCCGCCCGGACCTTGCCTACGCTCTTCGCTTCTTCACGAAATTAATCCATCCCCTAAGTCTTCCTTATTTCAAACACAATATAATTCCGATTGCCTGAAAATTTTCAAAGTAAAATGTTACACAATTGTTTTAAATTAAATAATATTTTATGCTTTATTTCAAACGTTTTCGATATTTTATAAAACGATTAATAATTAAATTATTGCTTAGAACTAATTAATAAAAGGAAATTAATGCGGAAAACAAAGAAAAGACTGATTATGACATAAATATTCGTGGAGTTATTATGATTCGTTGACATTTTACTTATACTAGTAATATAATATATTTGCTTATATCGATTTATATAGGAGTTAATTTATCTGACTGCGTTGCCTTAAAGTTTCACAAAAGCTTAGGAACAAAGAAAAAGTCGCATCAAGCCTTCACATTAGCTTTTCCTAGCTCGAAACAATTTACCTCTCAAATAATAACCATTTGTTTTAACAACTTTTCTCGTTTTTAGCTTTCTTTAGCCAGATTAAAAGTGTAACTTTTTAAAATGATGAGTAATAAAATAAATCTGTACAATTCATTTCATAAAGGTTTTATTGATAAACTATAAGAAAAATAAGTTTTAACACGGACGAATGGGTAGAATATCACGGTGTACCTAACATTATAATAATAATAAATTCAATGCATGAACTTTACTTACTAAAAGTGTCTACTTTGTACCTATATTGAAAACTCCACTTGACTTAACTTCTCCACGTCACACACATTAGGGACGAACACACGACAGCGAGCGTCGGCGGCTCAGTGGTCAAGCACTTGACTTGCAATCTGCAGGTCCTGGGTTCGAATCCCGCCATGTACCAATGTGTTTTTCGATTTCCGATTTACATATGTACATTTATCCGACGTTCATACGGTGAAGGAAAACATCGTGATGCAACCTGCACATATCTGAGAAGAAATTCAAATATATGTGTAAAGTCAACCAACCCGCACTTGGCCAGCGTGGTTGACTATGGCCTAATCACCCTTAACTTAGGGTAGGCTCCGAGTCCCTCGGTGGGGACGTATAGTGAGCTGATGATGATGATGACACGACAGCAGCACTACATCAACAGACACTCTATCGTTGTAACAAAACTTTAAAGTTACGTAAACTATGTTATTCTTGTCGATCATACTTGCAAGGATAACCCGGTAAACCTAACGTGTGTCGCCTGCAGTCAATAACTATTAACCGCGTGTTTTTGATATTAAAATCATGGTTTAAAACATAATGTTTTCTTTGTTTCTTTAAAGATATCATGGTATCAGAAACCCACGGTAAATATTATCTGTGAGGTATTGGAGTGTGGTAAAACAAACTGTTTGTTATCTATGCCAGCCCTCCTTCAATGTCTCTTTACATTTAGACTTGATTGTTCGTTGTATTTACATACGTTTCAAAATTATTGCTTTGAATTTAGTTAGCGCTAACTAAGGTTTGTCTAGTTCGGTTATTTCTGGGAAAACAAGTACACTTAACTTATCATTAGTATATTTGCGTCTTAATTCTCGAAATTTATTCACCAGGTTAAACTAACTTTTTGAATAATATTTGTTTTACTGAGATGCTATAAAGAAAATTTTACTATTATAATATTGTAAAAGCGAATGTTTAGATGGATGGAAGGATGTTTGTTTGATAGTATCTCCAGAACGGCTTAACGGATCTCGATGATATTTTGCAGGGACGTAAAACATAGTCTGGAGGAACACATAGGTTACTTATTAAGATTTTTTTAATTAGGCACGGACGGAGTAGCGGGTGACAGCTAGTAGAATAATAAAAACGATTAAGGTTTAAGAATACACTGCCAATCTTCGAACTGATAGAAAACTTAAAATCAATTAAGAAATACTTTTGCAATAAAGAACCGATTGAAGAAGAATAAAATAAAAATATAATAATAGACTAATCGTGCCTGTGAAACACAATGAAGAAATAGCTAAAATAAAAAACATACTAATTTATGTGGAAACAGTAAAGAAGCAATGTTCTGAACAAAAAGGCTAAGCATTCTATATTCAAAGGAATCATTAAAGCGCAAGAGCTCAGAATATATCCCCGCCTTTGATTATAGAGAAATGGACTAGGCATAGAGCAGCCACCGATATACTAAATAAATTCTGTCATTTTTTTTACGAGGGATTATAATTACACATGTGCATATTATGCTAAATTTAAATGTCTTTATAAACGCATACTGACTGCAAAAATTGCACTGACAAAAAAAGAACAGCGAGAAATTGTAAATTTATTGTTCCTTGTTATTTGAAAAAAGAAAATGCGCGCGCTTGACAGATCCTTTCTTTTAAAGGTCGAAGGCTCGAAATATCCTAGTAATATTCTATATTTAGCACTATTCACTTCTAGACCACACTTTTTTCACATTGCATTTAAATAAAACTCGAAGGGACAAGGATAAACTTTGTTATTTACGTGTCACCAATCGATTGTGAACTTCGACATTTATTAATGTCACTAGTATTTTATAGTAACGGGCAACTGTTTAATGGATCAAACATAACTTGCTCTTTTTCATTATTTTTATGCAACTCAACTATTTAACTATAATAAAATAATTATGAAGTTCACAATTTGAATAATAAATCGAAACATATAAAAAAGTAAATGAATTTGTTAATTTACAATTTATAATCAGTTTATAAATGGCTAGTAAAATTATAAAATGTCATAGTTCGCAGTTTATCGTTAACATACAAGGCGTACAATATATTCCGATGGCATGTCGCCTATTGTTTCCACTGAATGTATGGGCGTTGCTATAAAAACTTTATGGACGCATCGACAGCTGTCAGCTTTATTATCTGTTCGCGTAGGCGCGTAGGCGCGTCGTGTAAAAGTATAGCTTGTGTCAAACTTCAATATAACGCATGTAAACGATTCGTTATAAATTCTATTACTTCATGTCGACAGATAAATATTTTCGTGGAAAGGTTTTACGACTCTATAGAGTCACTACCATAGTCAAATATATAACTGTCGCCAGTTACTTCATTTGCGCGGAATTAAAAAAATGCTTTATTAGTAGACTATGTGTTCTTCCAGACTATGTTCTAAGCCAAATTTCAGTGAGATCCATGCAGCCGTTCTAGAGATACCTTCTAACGAACATCAATTCATCTATCCAAACATTCGCATTTACCTATATAAGTATGATTTTAAAATAAAAAGAAAAAAATAAGTAAATTAAAAAAAGAACCAATCGCAACAAATACTATTTGATTAGGTAATTATATGTGCAATATATATATATAAAAAACTATAACTAATAATATTGAAACATGAAGAAAACACTAACAATTTTTTAAATTCAGAAAACAAACATTTTACAAATCTAATCTAAAAACTTTTCCGTACGATAGTTATTCAAAGCACTTTCCTAAGGGGTTGTTATGACGATCTCGAAATTCCTTTCACATCAGCTTCCTAGTACGTATTGTTTTAACGTTTGAATTCAGTCCCTCTAAGTACTCGAACTAGGGATGGGTACTGTGGGGCTCGGCGTACTAAGAGGTGCTTGAATGGCTACCGACAAACGCAAATTATGTACGACGCACTTGAAAGATTGAAAGCCTACACATGCATGCAAAAAATGAAGGAAATCTTAATTGTGTTATTTTTAATTTTCATGTTACAGGCACAACAGTGACCCTTTTAGTATAGTTTAATTTAGATTAATGCTTCCCTTAGTTAAATCATACCAAATGATTTGATGGGGATCAAATATTATACAGGTGTCCCAAAAGGTAAAATAAATAAAATAAAAATTCCCCTCTGGGTATTATTGTATTATATTAAAAAGAAATGGCATTTTTTAAAAACTTAAAAATTTTACACCTTCTGGGGCAATTTTGTAACCGATGACCTACAAATATTGCTATATTTAAAAAAAGCTATTATATTATCGTCAATAACCCTTTATCAATATGAAATAAAAAAAACAATACAACTAACAAAGATTTTAAAGAAAATTAAAATTGACCCAGAAGGTGTAAAATTTTTAAGTTTTTAAAAAATGCCATTTATTTTTTTTAATACCCAGAGGGGAATTTATATTTTATTTTTCTGGTGACCCTTGTGACCACCCCTATCATCCCCCTTCCTATGTATGTAACCTTTTGGGACAACCTGTATATGAATGGAGAATGTTTAATGTAAAATTCTAAAGTAACTATGTCTGTCTGTCGCGCTTTCAAAGCTACGGAACCGATTTAAATGAAATTTGGTACATACGTAGGCTATGAAAAAGGACTTAGACTATTTTTCAGTGCGAAAAAATGGTTGTACTAGGTTGAAAGGGAGGATGAAACGTTGTATGGCAGTATCATCCAGACAATATTTCACGCAGACGAAGTTGCGGGCACAGCTAGACATATGTAAATAATAAATAGTAAAAAGATGTACTTTTTTCAAACTCTTGATTATAACATATAACACAGTAACATATAATACATTTTGATATGTGAAATTGACGCCGGAAACAAATAGAGCTATTGATTTTTACGAAAAAGTCACTCGGTTCATATCGTAGGTTACTTTTAGCAAAAACAAATGTAGTTCAATAACTTTTCTTTCTCATGATAAACGAGCAAGGTATTGCAGGAAAGTTTTAAGTATACGTCAAGGATCATTGCCTTTAGCGACTAACTTTCCCTCGTGAAGATTTTATAGAAGAATTATAAGCGTGTACTTTTCGCTTTATATGTACTTTTACAATGTGAGTGGCATGTAACACTGACAGTATTTAAAAAAAAAACCTTACTAATAATATCAATGTTTGGATAGATGTTTGTTAGAAGGTATCTCCGGAACGGCTAAACGAATCTTAATGAAGTTTTACAAAGATGTAGGACATAATTTGGAAG